GCTCTCCTGGTTCCCGTCAAGTGGCCCATCTCCCAGTGAAGGGGGTAAGAAAGACCACATTGCCCCCACTGCGCAGATGAGGAAGTTCAGCCTCAGAAGAGTCAGGTGACTCACCGAAAGCCACACAGGCAGTGGCAGGACTGCCTTGGGGCTCAGCAGAAGGGTGAGGAACTGTGTTGAAGGATGGCTCTCCAGCTGCGGCTCTGCCAAAGGCCAGCCGGTCCCTGACCCCTGGGGGCTCTGGGGGCTCCCCCAAGCTGAGCATCAGTGCTAGCTGTGAAAGGAGAGGGAAAACAGGCTCCCTTTTCCCTGTTCCCCAGGAACTTGTAGGAACTAGGCCTGAGATGCCTCAGCTGCCTCCAGGCCACCCTTCCCTCCCTCCAGTGGCCCTTCAGGACCCTCCCCAAAAGGTTAATTACCGAATCATCGCATCAAAGGAAATTGCACTTTTGTGCCTTAAAGACCAAACTGAGCTTCAGCAACACGGTTATTTATGGTCTCTAATAAGCATTTTCTGGGTGTGATTAACCTTTATGCCAAAATCACACTGGGAATTGGGATGGCAGCTTCATTCCAGTCCCATTCTGTGCTGGCCCTGGGGGTGGGGGTGTGAGTAGCAGCTGCAGCAGACTGGAGCAGGCCATGTCAGAGCCCGGCCCTCCACCCGCTCCACAGGCTCCTGCACCACCTCCTTCTCCCCTGCCCATCCCTTCTGCCAGAGCCCTGTCTTGACCTGCTCCTGGCCAGCCAGAAGGCGCGACTCTCCTCATGGTTCATCTCCTTGAAAGACAGGCAGGAGCACCTGCTTGCTGAATCCCAGCTCCTAAAAACAGTTCTGTGACACTGGGCACATCAACTACCCCAGACTTAAAATGGGAGCGTGATACCCGCCTGGTCTGCTTTCCCTTCCATGGCAGGGACCCTCTAGATCTTTGGCAAATCCTTTTACGAGATGCTATAATTGAGCTGCACACACCCTTGGCCTCAGATTTTAACCTTGAAGGTTTGGCTCTTTGGTGAGTGGAGAGATTTGTAGCTGAGATGCAAGTTTTATTTGGGGCCTTGGAGCTGCCAGGCTGGTGCACGGAAGCAAGGCATTAGCCGGTGGGTGAACCTCGTGCTCTGCCAGCTTCAGCTTCAGTGCCGTTTTGATTTTCTCTACTAGTTGGAAGATAGTAAATCACATGAAGTCTTGAAAACTTGTTTCTGAAAGGAGCGCCAGTGGCTGGGGCTGGTGATGGAGTGGAAGAGCAAGAGGCATCCAAGAAAGGCCAAAAGCGCTTTGGTTTGATTTCAGAGAAGATGACATGTTCAGTTCACCCCATTTACCATATGCTTCAACTGTAGTTACCACTGTTTGGGGGGTGCTAGTTGTTGGTGAGAAGTGGAGGAAGCCAAGAACCCTCCCCAGGAAAATGGTTTTCATCACACACACCGACCGCATTTATCTGCAGATCTTCATACTGCCTGTTCCCCAGGTTCAGAATCTCCATTTTTTTGTTATTGTTGTTTTTGTCCGGGCGCGATGGCTCACGCCTGTAATCCCAGCACTTTGGGAGGCCGAGGCGGGCGGATCACCTAAGGTCAGGAGTTTGAGACCAGCCTGGCCAACATGGTGAAACCTCATCTCTACTAAACACACAAAATTTAGCTGGGCGTGGTGGTGCAGGCCTGTAATCCCAGCTACTAGGGAGGCTGAGGCAGGAGAATTGCTTGAACCCATGAGACAGAGGTTGCGGTAAGCCGAGATTGCACCACTGCACTCTAGCCTGGGCGACAGAGCGAGACTCCATCTCAAAAAGCAAACAAACAACAGAATTCTCCGTTTTAAGGGGAAACAAACAATATCCTTGAAACTTTGGGAGCCTGTTCCTGCCAGTGCAGTAATTGCCTGTTGATGGAGATAGAAAACCACAGTGAAGCTTGAAGAGGAGATCAGCAGATGGTGGAAGGAAATATGCAGGAAATCTTGGGACTTTTCAGAGAAGTGTGATTCAGGAATAAGGCATAAGCCCTCACAAACCTTCCCCAGAGCAAGAGGTGGCACAGGCACAGATTCTGCTACAGAGCAGACCTTTCTGGAGAGGAAAAGGTTGGTTTGGGAATTTTAAGAAGCATTTTTCTTTGCATAATGCAACACCAGTCCTCTGTTTGTCAAAAATGGCTGTGTGAACCATCACATTCAAGAAAGAGACCCAAGTGTCAGGGTTCTAGGCAGCCAAGGGCAGACTAGCCCTTTGCCTGGTATTTGGCTTCGTTTTCTGACACATAAAGATTTGCTCTGCTCCTCTGTGCATGCCAGGACATTAAGATGCAAAAATAAGAACTTACAGCCTGTATACTTGCCATCTAATTAGTGTCTTGGGTCCTAAGTGCTTTGTGCCGAGGTGGTTTTAGTGCACTTGGGCTGGTCCAAGGGCTCTACTTGTGAGCCTCACGAGCACAGGGTCCAGTGGGTGTACAGAGTGCACTAGGAAAAGGGGTACATTGGAGGGAGAACTGAGCTGCTTTGCTTTGGAGGGTTGGGCAGGTACTGCTAAGCGGAGGGGCCCTGGAACTGGCGTCTGAAGAATGGAGAGTAGACAGGTGACCAGGAGGGTGGCACGGACTGCATGGGCAGAGGGTTGCAGACCTGAGAAGGATCCCAGATACTGGGAGATGATAAGTAATTGGATGGAAATAGAACATGATGTGCCTTCGCGGTGGGGGATCTGAAAGACCAGAGCACGAAGCACAGCTTAAGGATTAGATGGATAAATGGAATGTCAGGCAATGGGGCTGATATTGTCAAATAGGATGTCTTCAGTTTCTTTTCTTTCTTTTTTATATATTTTATTTATTTATTTATTGAGACAGAATCTTGCTCTGTTGCCCAGGCTGGAGTGCAGTGGTACGATCTCGGCTCACTGCAACCTCCACCTCCTGGATTCAAGTGATTCTCCTGCCTCAGCCTCCTGGGTAGCTGGGACTACAGTTACGTGCCACCACACCCAGCTAATTTTTGTATTTTTAGTAGAGACGGGAGTTTCACCATGTTGGCCAGGCTGGTCTCGAACTCCCGACCTCAGGTGATCCACCTGCCTCAGCCTCCCAAAGTGCTGGGATTACAGGCATGAGCTACCATGCCTGGCCAGTGTCTCCAGTTTCTTTAATTTGCCTGCGGCTTAGCTGGCTCTGGGAGCCCTAGTTTGATAGAGAGAGAGAAAGAGAGAGAGAAAGAGAGAGAGAGAGAGAGAGAGAGTGTGTGTGTGTGTGTGTGTGTGTGTGTGTGTGTTGGGAGGTGGCGTGGGCAGATGTGGGGTGGGAAATGAGGAGCAAAGATTTCTAGTCCCCTTCTAGAATAGAAGGGGTCTCTGGCCCTAGCATCTGAGCTGCCCCTCTCTGGGGACAGGGCCGAGTCTGGGTCCCTGCTGATTGCTGAGCGGGCAGTGCAGCTTTGTCATGAGAACACTTTGCTTTCTGCTTAGCTGGCAAGAGCCACCGGCTGGCCTGGTGGCCTCCTCCTCTCTCTACTTCTGCATTTTCACTTGGAAAATGAGGGTAAAGATAGTTCTCCATCCCTTTGGAGACTGTGAAGTTTAATTACTGATTAATAAAGTGTTGGAAGTTCCTTGAGGCCAGAGAGATGAATGGGTTTGTTATCATCCCTCCTGAGTCCCAGGAGCGAGTTGGCTAACCCCAGTGCCATCTTGCTGAGTGTCCCGTGTGCAGAGCACAGGGTGGGGGTGTGGAGCTGGGGTTGTGCTTCAGAACCTGGAGCTTGGTGCAGGGCAGAGAGTCCCCTGTGAGAGTGCCAGCGAGGGAATGGAGTGAACAAAGCCACTACAAACTCAGGCACTACAGACTCAGGGGACCATGTGGGTGAGTGATGGGTAGTGGGAACCAGGCTGTGACGATGAATGGCCACTGTTCCCCTGAACCTTGTAATGTGAGTGGGAGAGAAGGGAGCAGAGTCTGCCTTCATCATCAGGACAGGAGTGGGAGGGAGTGGGTGTCGTGAAAGGGGTTGGCCCTCGTGGAGTGGGGTGGTGTGAGGTAAGGGAGAACATTCCCAGCAGGTGAACATGGAAAAGGCAGATCAGTTTGCTTGTAAGGATAGGGGGAAGGTCCTGAGATCTGAAAAGGGTGAATGGAGAGGAGTCCAGGGAAGAGAGGATTGACAGCCCTGGAGGGTATGGGGTGGGCAGGGAAGGAGGAATGGAGTCTGGCTTGGGAAGACGACGCATGAGCAGGACCCGACTGGAGTAAAGCAAGTGAGGCATTTCCTCAAGCTCACCCCAGAAGGAGGTGCCAGCAACCTCAGTAATCACAACAGATTTTTTTTTTTTTTTTTTGAGATGGAGTATTATTCCATCGCCCAGACTGGAATGCAGTGTTGCAATCTCAGCTCACTCCAACCTCAACCTCCCGGGTTCAAGCAATTCTCCTGCCTTAGCCTCCAGAGTAGCTGGGATTACAGGTGCCTGCCACCACGCCTGGCTAATTTTTGTATTTTTAGTAGAGACAGGGCTTCACCATGTTGACCAGGCTGGTCTCAACTCCCGACCTCAGGTGATCCACCTGCCTCAGCCTCCCAAAGTGCTGGGATTACAGGCGTGAGCCACTGTACCCGGCCGTGATAGATAATATTTTAATATCATTCCTGACTTTTTCCCTTTTTGCCCCAAGCTCCAACATGGCCCGGCACTGTTACTGAGCCTATTTTCCTTTAAAGAGTTTTTGATATTTTGCTCATCATGGATTTTTTGGTGTTAATTTTTATTTTAAAAAAATATGTTAAAATATTCTGTATCTTGACGACTAAGTTTTTCGATGCTCCCTTCACTTTTACACTCACCACGTGGAGTCCCGGCCCCTTGCGAGAAGGCTGCGTGCTGCCTGGGCTGACCACCGACTTGCTTCTAGCCTACACCCTAACCTAGCAGCTTTGCTCACTAAGGGACTTGACAAGCCCCTATCTCTCTCCCAATCTCATTTTCCTGCTGTGAAATCCTAAGTTGGCTTCCAGAGCTAAGGGTCTGTGTCTGAGGTTCCTTAGTGAAATTTGCAGTTGGTTACGGAAATGGTCTGGGGCTGAGACACCTGGCCATGAGGTCGGGGACCTCAGAAGGAGGGGACCCCAAGAAGAAACAGCAGAGCAGTGATGAGGAGAGCAGCCTCCCATGAGGCCTCTCGGGCTTCGGGCTCACCACCCTGTCTGGGAACTCTGCTGGTGGCCGGGCACCCAGCGCCCCACAGCCAGAGGCAAGGGCCGGTTACAATGCTCCCCTCTCCCTGCCCCTCACTCATGCTTCTTAATCCCTTTGGAATCGAATCCCAGGGGAAACAGCCACTTCTCTTCCAACAACTAAAAAAAACCCACCAAGTTCAGATCTGTCAACATATCCTTCTTGAGTGCCTATTGTATACCAGAAACACAATGTCATTCATTCATTTCTTCAGCAAAATTGAGTGCAATGAACAAAACCTCTGCCCCCACAGAGTATGCAGGGCTATTTGAAGGACTTCTACATACATACATCATGTAAGCTTAAAGGGGGTGGGACCATTATGCCCAGTTTTACAGGTGAGGACACTGAGGCACACACAGGTCAAGTCACCTGCCCATGACAACACAGCAAAATGGGGGGCTGGACACTCGGCCTCTCTCTTGACTCTAACCCTGTCGGGAGGGGGTAATGTGATGGTTGTGTGGGTGGGTTTAGTTGAAGAAGGGTCAGTCCTCCAGGTATAGGGCCTATGCCACTCCCTTCCCAACTGGGCTAAAATTCTGGAATCAGAGTGACACGGAGCCTTCAGGGAGGTTAAAGGGCAAAGGTCTGCCCTAGAATAGGGTGCCCGTCTTTCCAGACACATTTATCCCTTACCTCTCTGTGCCTCAGTTTCCTCATCTGCAAATAGGCACAGCCACACCAGCCCCAGGGAAAACTGTGTGCCACGGCAGATGTACAAGAGCTTGATAAATGGTGAGGCACAATTTGTGATGACGGATAATTAGGCAGGCAGGGATGAGGGCCCGGGAAACAGTTCACAGAACAAGAGGCCAGCTCTGGAGGGAGGGAGGGAAGGGGGTGCACGTATGGGGATCTGTGAAGCCGCGGTGGTCAGCGGGCCGGTGGGAGTGGCGGGTGGGTGTGTGTGTGCACGTGGTGGGACACCGCTGGACCATGCTCAGGATCCCATGGGGATGGAGGTGGCTTCCTCTGGTAGCACCCCAGCCCCTAGGGGTAAAATTCACGTCTTCCCTAGGAGCCTGGGCTCCTGCTCCTGTCAGCCTCCCTGCCAGGCCCCTCCATGAGCAGGGCAACTCCAGGCCCTCCAGGCAGAGAGGACCCAGAGGGAGGAGAAAGGAGACAGGGGGTGGGTGTCTGGGAAGCAACTTGATGTGTGACAGGGTGGGAGGGAAAGCAGGCAGGTGCAGTGTAACCCCTGCAGTTTTCCTGGGCAATGGAACGATAGGCTCATGGCTCATGGCACCTGCCTAATGTGTCCTTCGCCTCCTGTGCCTGCAGGCCCTTCTCCTTCTGGGGCTGAACCCCGTCTCCGCCTCCCTCCAGGACCAGCATTGCGAGAGCCTGTCCCTGGCCAGCAACATCTCAGGTGAGTTCCCTCAACCCCCTCCTGCAAGATTCCTGGTCACCACAATGCCCCCCATCCCAGGTCTGCCAGAGCCTGCACACAGAACCATGCCCTAAGGCAGGATTCGCAGAGTCATTTCCTCTCCAGGGCTGCAAGCAATTCTTCTCGTCTCCACGGAGTGCCGTGTTGAGAAGGATCCTGAAGTTGGGTGTAAGGTTGGTAGGGAAGAGCTGCAGTTGGTTGGTGGCACCTGGAGTTTGCAGCAAGGATTCTGAGTAGTTATCTTCCCTGCTTTAGGGTGGGCACAGGGGAGGTCATCCCAGCCCTTGCTGCTGAGTTGTGACTCGGGGAGGCTTTAAGGGAGGAAGAAAGGCTGCCACAGTCTGCAGCTAAAAATGCCCAGAGTGTAATACTCCATAGTGCTAACACGTGCCAGGCACTGATCGAGGACTGGAGCTGTACTGACCCAATTTGCTCAACGTCCCTCTGAGGTAGGTGCTGTTGTCCCCATTTTACACATAAGAAAACTGAGGTACAGAGAACTAGTGAGCGCCAGAGCCCTGAGTGGAGCACGGGCAGCCCAACTTCTTGTTGTGGTCTCCAGCGCCGTGCTCTGTACCTCTCCAACAGAAAAGACAGCATGGCTGCAAATATTAATACCTGCATCACTTTACCATTTACAGAGTGCTTTTGCATAATCACCTTATTTTATCCTCACAAGAGTTTAAAGCCCAACATTTGTACAGTTGAGGAAATGGAGGCACAGAAGAGTTACATAACCCCCATGGCACAGCGTGGTCAGTACATGGCAGTGACTGGGATCCAAATCTAGGTCTTTGGGCTGTCAAGGGCATGTTTTAAAACTCTGGGTGTGGTCCTGGCCATGGCTGCTGCTGGGGCAAAAATGGAGAGGGTTCCCTGCCCCTGAGTGTCTTTGGGAGGCTTGTGGACCTTCTGTTTAAGTCTTCAAGCCTCTCCTTGATTCACACCAACTCTTTCATGAAGCACCTACTACACAGCAGGCCCCACGCAGGGCACTGGGGAAACAAGAGGGGCTCACAGTCTAGTCTGGGAGTCTAATCCACAAATGCATGTGCAATGAGGCAGAGTGCAAGACGCATGCTAGTGAAAGTCGAATCCACAAATGCATGCGCAAGGAGGCAGAGTGCAAGACGCATGCTAGTGAAGAAACAGACGCAAGTGTCTGCAGGCAGGCAGGAGGCCTTCATTTCTGAAGCTGGCTCTGTGGGGACAGGAGGCCTCCATAACTCAGGGCATCTGCTTCCTGGCTAGCTGTTCCTTCACTAGGGAGAGCCTGGGGGCAGAGGAACAAGACCTGGACTTGGAGAAGGCACACTGGGTTCCTGTGCTGGCTCCCAGAAGGTGCCAGGTCATGTCCTGGCTAGGGGTGGGTACTGGTAGCCACAGGGATGACCTTACCCTCAACCCCCTTGAACCTCACCTTGTCTAAGCGTAGAGGGATAGGGGGGCTGTTACCTGCCCCAAGGATCTCTTATGAGATTCAGTGTGCTAAGTTTTATGGCAATATTTCACAAACTGTAAACTGTAGAGTGTCATGCCAGTATTAGGTTTGGTTTGGTTTGATTTTAGAGATGGGCTCTCACTCTATCACCTAGGCTGAAGTGCAGTGTCACAATCATAGCTTAGTGCAACCTCGATCTTCTGGGCTCAAGGAATCCTCCTATCTCAGCCTCCTAAGAAGCTAGGACTATGTGCACACCACCACACCTGGCCTAATTGTTTTAAAAATTGTTTTGTAGAGACAGGATCTCTGTTTCCCAGGCTGGAGTGCAGTGGCACAATCATAGCTCACTGCAGGCCAGATCTGGGCTCAGGTGATCCTCCTGTCTCAGCCTCAGCAGGCTTTTAAAGGGCTTACTGTATAGGTGGAATGAAGGGAAGGTACTTGCCAGTAATTGCTCATAATAAGGGAAGGAGCAGGGAGGCTAGGCAGTGGTGGTGCAAATCCAGGGAGGCTTCCTGAAGGAGGAAGTTTCAAGGTGAATATTAAGAGACACTGTCAGTGTGAACTGGCAGAAAAGAGCCAGTGCTGTGAGCTACAGCAGGAGGTGAGCAAGGACCAGTAGGTGAGTTTGGCGGAAGGACCGGGGAGAAGTGAGGAGAGAGGAGTGGGAAACTGGGAAGGTACTGGGAGCCCAGAGCATCTGGCTGCAAAGTTGGTTACGCTGTGCTTGGGGAATGGGGAAGTAAGTTCTTGAGCGTGAGTCTGGAGTTCTAGGAAAGAGAGATGGGGAGGGAGGAGAGCTGCTCAGAGGCTAGGCCTGAGAGGAAAGGCCCTATCCCCAGCCCCCCATGCTCTGGGGTCAGGTCAGGCTCTATCAACTTGTTCGTTATGCTCAGGAGGACAGACATCCCTGAGCCCACGAAGGTGTCACCTGTCCTTGGAACCAGCAGGCCATGATGAATAGCGTTCATTCCCTGGCGATTTGTACTCCGTGCCGGTGCCCCCAGCCCAGCCCAGCCTGCCTGGCTGCATGGCACGCGATCCATCACCCTCCACAATGGCCTCTGATAATGGGCCATTTGTCTTCTGACTCGGAGACCTACCCAGACTGACGGGCACTGGTAGAGACAGATGGTGAGGGTGGGGCAGAGGGGCCGAGACAGATGGATGGGTGTCTGGCTGGGGCAGCTGGCACTGAGCCAGGGCCTTTGGGGGGGCCTTTCACATGCCTCATGCCAGGAACCGGGAGAGAGTGGGTCCCCAGAGCTGAGGCCTATCATGTGGCAGACCACAGACTTGGCGACTCATAAAATCATGGCATGAGTATGACAATGCCAGGAAGTAATAGAATTATTTACTAATGACATCACAGACAAATAGAATCTGAGTTGACAATTACCTGGGGTCATCAGTTATCATCTCTGGTCTTAAGGTAGTGAATGATAATTAATAATAGCTAGGCCAGGCATGGTGGCTCACGCCTGTAATCCCAGCACTTTGGGAGGCTGAGGCCGGAGTATCACTTGAGGTCAGGTGTTCGAGACCAGCCTGGCCAACATGGTGAAACCCCGTCTCTACTAAAAATAGAAATAAAAAATTAGCCAGGCGTGGTGGTGGGCGCCTATAATCCCAGCTACTCAGGAGGCTGAGGCATGAGAATCGCTTGAGCCTGAGAGGCCAGGGTTGCAGTGAGCCGAGATCACGCCACTGCACTCCAATCTGGGCAACAGAGCGAGACTCTGTCTCAAATAAGAATAACAATAATAATAGCTAATATTTATTTAGTGGCCACTATGTGTTGGAAACCATTCCAAGTGCTTTAATCTCATTCAATCATTATAATACTGTAGTCAGGAAATATTTTTATCCACATTTTACAGTAGAGGAACCTAAGGCTCAGATAAGTTAAACAAGTTGCCCAAACACACTAAGCTTCTACTAAGCAGTGGCTGCAGGATATAAACCATGTGGGTCTGATTTCAGATTTTGCCACCAGCACCGCGTTATGTGGCCACTCAGAGCTAGAGTGCCCAGGGCCCGGTGTAGTCAGCCATCTGGGGTGCAGTGCCACCCCTGCAGTGCCACCCACACCCACACTAGGTGTGCACATGGCCCCATATTCTCCTCCATGCCTCCTGTATGCCTGGCATTGTACTAGCTGCTGGGAAGGCAAAAGTGAAGAGCCCACAAACCCGCAGGACAGGAGGGCCATCCTCTTGTCCTGATGGATCACACACCCTACACAGGCATCTTTCTTCTCTGCCCAGCCAAAGAGAAGGCAGCTCAGCCATGAGATGGCTGAGCAAAGACAAGGTTTCTGCCACCCTCTCCATGCCAGGGGACCCAGGCAGAGGCCCTGCCCATTCATCCCATAGCACATTCCTCTAACTGGGCAAGAATGTGTGTTTCACAGGCTGCCCTTGGGCCACCTGGCTGCTCCCCCTCTGGACAGCCTGGGCTGAGTCCCCCTCCTGATTTTAAGCCAAATAGGGGGAAGGGCTTCCCAGCCACAGGGCTGCTGCCAAGTGCCCACATCCAGAAGCCGCTGATGGGAGACCCGACATAACTGAGACAGAGCCAGGTTCCAGCTTCCTCTGAAGTTATCCACCATGGGCGGATCTGCCAAGCACATGTGGACCCTGAGCCTGATGGGAGGCAAACTGTGTAACCTACTTGGGGGAAGAAGCCAGTGCCCGATTGTGCACAGCATTAAATAGGCCACCTTCAAAGGATTCTTACCTGTTCATTAAAGCAGCCCTCCCAGGACCCTGACCTGGCAGGGTTTCTTCCCTGGCAGGTGGAGCCCTCCACACTGCCCCCTCTCCTCTGCTCTCGCTTTGCAGGGATTTGAGGCAGTCTGAGCAGAATGCGGTTCCCATGCATTTGTTCTGTGCATGTGTGGGGAAGGAGAAAGATATAGAACCGGTTTTTGCATTACTTTAGCCCACTTGACTCCCTCCAGCTCACCCCCAACCTGAAGGCCTGTGGTGACCAGGGCTGGTGAGTGGGTTGGTTCTACTCCCACATCCCCAGCCAGGAAAGACCCTGAATGCATCTACCTGCCCTGTAAATGAGGGAGTGAGCCACAGAGCAAGAGGGACATTGACACCTCAGACACACCAAGCTCACACCTCTTCCAGGGCCCTCCTACTCGCAGTTGCCTCTGCCGAGAACACTTTCCCCCCAGGTTTTCTCCCTCACTTCCTTTAGTTATCTGCTTAATTGGTAGTAATTTAGAAGACACCACACTAAAAGAGCACCTTTGTCAGCCTTTATCTCTTTGCACTGCTTAGTTTTTCTCCATAGTATTTCTCATTGGTCAACAGAAATGTGTGTGTGTGTGTGTGTGTGTGTGTGTGTGTGTGTGTGTTTGCTGCCTCCCCACTAGAATGTAAGCACCATGAGGACAGGGCATTTATTTTATTCATTATTATATCCCAAGCCCCTTGAACATTTCTTAGGTAGTCAGTAAATAACAGCTGTTTCTTGGTATCCATGGGAGACTGGTTCCAGAACTCCCCATGGATATCAAAGTGCAGGGATGTCCAAGTCACTGATATAAAATGGAGTAGTATTTGCATGTAACCTATGCACATCCTCCTGTATACTTCAGATCATCTCTAGATTATTTCTAATACCTAATGCAATATAAACGTTATATAAATATAAACAGTTATTATACTGTACTGTTTAGGGAATAATGACAAGAAAAAATGTCTGTACATGTTCAGTACTTTTCCCCAAAACCTATGGATATGGAGAAACAACTGTACTTGTTAAATAAAGAGCAAAGCCACTATTCCTTAATTGACCAGGAGAGGCACTGCAGGACAGGGAGCTGTCAGGGGGCATTGGCATCTAACAGCACCTCAGCTTTGTGCAGCTGGTTGGTAAACTGGCTTGGCTATTTGCAAGGTTGGATTACTGTGGTCCAAATTCCTCCTCATCCCAGGACTATGACAGCTGAGTGGGAAAATACCTCCACCTGCCAGGAGAGCAGAAGAGGTCAGGCTTTTGTGGCACTGGGACTGGAGGGAGGGGACATTGGCCCAAGAATCAGAAGGTCCTTGAGGTCCTTATAGCCATCAAGCTGAGTGACCTAGAAACTGACTTCCTGCCTTCTCCCCTTCCCATCTAGGGGATGGACACCCTCTCTGTCCCCAGCACCTGTGAAATGATCTTTCTCTGTGCCTCCTTCTCCTGACTTTCCGCCTGCCTCTCCCTATTTCTTCCTTAGTGTCTTCTCCCTCGTCTTTCCTCTCTCTCTCCACCTCTCTCCTGGCCCACTTGGCCTCCCACCTCCCTCCCTCTCTGCCTGTTTTCTCCTCCTCGGTGTAGTCAGGTGGCTTAAATGAGTGACATGAATTGCGTCATGCAAAGCACCCTTCACAGTGCCTGGTATATATTATAGCAGTGTCCAACTAATGTTCTCCCTCAAGTCCTATACACCATTTCCCTTCTGAGGCCTTGTCCCTACCGGATCCCAGGGACCCCCATCCCCAACCACTCTCCTCCCCGGACCCGGTGTCCGCAGGACGGCGATCTGAAATCCCTTGTGGGGATTTCAGACACAGAGACACTAAGGCCCAGAGAGGGCAGGACCCCGAGGCATTGTGGGAAGGCACCGAGCCCACAAGGCCGTCCCAGGCCGGGAAGTCCAGTGGACGGTGCCAACTGGCCAGGAGCGTGGCGCCTGAAGCCCTGTCCTGCTGCCTGCTCCCTGCCCTTGACCTCTAGGTCCCCTCCCCTCTAACTCCACTAGAGGCTGAGGCCCTCTCGCCTCTGGCCACGCCCCCTCCCCGACCCCGCCCCCCAGCACCTGACCCCCGTGGGAGCGCTGACCTTTCACTGGGGAAGGGGGAACTTTGTCTCCTCGTCCCTTTTCATTTGACTTTTCCTCCCTGTTCTTGCAGCCTCTCTCTCCCTTTCTTACCGTCTCACACAGACTTTCAATTCCTTCCAGGATTTTTTGGGCTCTTAATGTAAAGATCGCGACCGATGCTGTGTCCCGGGCGCCCTCTCTACGCATCCTTCTGAGCTGCGGGGGTCAGGAGGGAGGGGGAGGCGCGGCGCTGCTGGGGAACTGGAGTGGCCGAGACCGGGGTGCAGCTCTACACTCGAGGGGCAGCCGCCCAGATCAGGGTCAGCTGTGCAGCTGTGGGCAGCACCCTGAGCTGGCATCAAAAGATGAGCATTGAAAATCCACTCCTGTCTCAGTATCTTTGCTTACTGATTGTCCTGGAATAAGCCATTTGACCACCTTGGCCTCAGTTTTCTTATCTGTAAAACAAGAGAGAATTAGCACCCACGGTGGCATAGTAGGTGGCTGGGAACCGTACCACAGAGGAGGGGCAAATGGCTTCTGACCTGACTGCCCCTTGAAGGTCTGCACGTCCCTGGCCAGCTGTGGATGGGGTCAGGCCTTTGGTTAGAGCCCTTAGAGCTCCCAGTAGTGGCCGGTGCAGGTTCTCTAGGCCAGAAGGCCCATCCTGAGTGGCTGGCTTCTGCCTCGGCTCTGGCCTGGTCCTGGTTGTGGCGGGTGCCCAGTCCTTTCCTGCCCTTCGTGCCTTGTGAAAGCAAGTTGCGAGAAGACTGGCCGTGGAAGGGAAGAAGGGAGGGCAGGTGCCACACTGACAGAGAGGGTGTGTTCCGTGTGTTCATTCCAGACGCTGCCACATGGAACATTACATTTAAGCCTAGCTCACTAGATAGTGTGTATGAATGAGTGAGGAGGGAATGAGCAAGCTACGGAGGAAGGTACAATGGTGCCATTAAATGAGATGGCATATGTCATGCAGCTGACATGTGCCTGGCACACAGTCAGCCCTCGACAAACGCTGCTGCCTTCCTGCTGCCCCCTTAACTGTCCATCACCTCCGTGACTGACTCACAATGTGGCATAATGGAAAGAGCACTAGATTTAGAGTCCAGAATACCTGCCTATGAGACTAGGTTCTTTCACCCATTGACCCATGACCTTGGAAAAGTCACCTAACTTCCCTGGGCCTCAATTTCTTCCTCTGTGAAAAGGAAATAATGACATTGCTGAATGTATGAAGATCAAACGAAATAGATGAAGAAGAGCTTTGAAACAGCAGGGCGTGGCCCCTATACAATCCTCCCCTCCCCACGACCACATGCTCCCAGCTCTCTACCCAAGTCCCTGTCCCCGGGCTCAACACTGTCAGCAGGATCTAGGACAGGTTAAAATCCCAGCCTGGCACGCCCTTGCCTCGGATGGCCCTGCTTCATCACTCCCCTGTTTCCACCGCCAGTCCGTGATGACATTCACAGAGACTCCGCTGTGGCACAGCACCTGGGCTTGGCCCACTCCAGCCGCCTGGCCCGCAGTCACCTCGTGTCCATTAAGCCCCAATCCAGATTTCTTTCTCTTTCAATTAAGCCACTTGGCCTGAAGACCTCTGCCCCTTGAGTCCTGATTTGCACAAATGCCCTATGAATAGCTTTGATTAGAAAGAAAAACCAGCATTTGGTACAAGTGCTGCTCGGCACTGCCCTGAGTCCAACAGGGAAAGGAAGCCAATTTAACCCAGCGCTGTTTCCTGAGAGATTGGGGACAAGCTAATTTGGGGAGGAGATGGCAGGCGGGCCCCAGCCAGGGCTTGGCAGCTGCTAGGGCCTCGGCCCAAGCCCGAAGAGGCTGCCCCCACCCGCACTGGTTCATGGTTCCTGGCCCTCCCTGGCTTGTCCGTCCACGCTTGTGCCAATTCTAGGTTATTAACCTGGAGACACTAGGGCTGAAGAGGACTGCTGTGCCAGCCTCACTCAGAGGGAGGCACTAAAAGGCAGAGAAAGAAGGGGCAGCCTCAAGGGGGTGCCAGGACTGTGCCAGCCCCCACCCTTTGGAGGCCATACCCGCCCTCCCCTCCTGAAGTGTCACTGGGGCCTCAACTCTGCCCCAACATCCTCTCTCTCTCTCTCTCTCTCTCTGTCTCTCCCCTCCAAAAAGCAAATATTTGGAAGGGGCCTTTGACATCCTCTTTCTAGTTCGGGTGTTTATCTCTCTTTGAGTCACAGACCCCTTTGAGAATCTAATGAAAGCCATGGGCTGCTTTCCCCATTAAAATGCATGTATACACCAATATTTTCATTACATTCAGGGTCTCTGCGAACTGTTGAAGTTTCCAGTGGGCTGAGATTAAGAATTTCTGATCTGGTTCAACCACTTTATTTTATTATAGATGAAGACAAGACACTAGGACCCAGAGAGGGCAAGTGACTTGCCTATGGTCACACAGCAAATTAGTGGCACAGCCCATTCTGAAGCCGTGGGCCCAGACTCCCAGTTCAGTGCCCTTTCCACTCCCCCAGATGGTGTCTCCCTCCCTTTCCTCTCCATAGCTCACTTCTCCGTCAGTCCTGTCCTAGGGCTCTGCACAGAACAAAGTACACACAATGTATGGTCAGTAAGTGTGGTGAACAGGCCAGCCGGAAGAAGGAACAGGCCAGCTGGAAGGAGAAACAGGCCAGCCGGAAGAAGGGCCAACTTTATTCAGCTGGTTCTTCCCTGTAGGGCCAGGGTAGATGTGGTTTGATTGCAGAGACACGTGAGGGGCTGGATCAGTGGTTGGATGGGTCTGTTCCAGGGTGTTCCTGTGATATCTCAGAGCTCCAGGCTATCACCATGTGAGGGGCCAAGGAAGTGTCCCCAGGCTACAGAGCAGGGGACCAGAAGCATGCCCAAGCTTCTTCTAAATGCCAGGACCTTAGCTTTTAACACCACCTCCAGCCATTTCTGTTCCTCGTCTGCTCTGGAACCCATGCTGGCTCCCTAGTACCATAGCATCAGATTCAGATTTCTTCCCCTTGTGTCTTCTTTGCATAGGATGAGCTCATTTCTGCACTGGTCATTGTTGTCATCCTGTCCCTAGTTGGTGTGAGTGGGAACCAGTGGGGAGGTGGGCAGAACTCTGGAATGTCCTCTGCCTGCTTGGGGCCTTGGCCGGATATCTTGCTGTGCCTTACCAGTCATCTCTGCCCCCAGGACTGCAGTGCAACGCATCCGTGGACCTCATTGGCACCTGCTGGCCCCGCAGCCCTGCGGGGCAGCTAGTTGTTCGGCCCTGCCCTGCCTTTTTCTATGGTGTCCGCTACAACACCACAAGTAAGGAAGAAGTGGAGGGTGGACCATCTGCTGGGAGGTGGGACAGGATGGGGAGAGCTTGGAGGTGGGGGAAGTAAGAATGGTGATGCCAATAACAGTAATACCTCTTGTGGGGATCGCCCCTGTTTTCCAAAGGTCAGCGCTGTATTCTCCCAAGTGTCCTGTGCTCATTACTGGTGATTCTCACAATACCCTTGCAAGACACTATCACGCCTCCTATAACTAAGGCCCCTGAGGCTCAGGGAGGTTAGGGAACTTGCCCCATTGGCAGCTGGTAAGGGGTGAAGCTGGAATTTGCATCCACATCTGCCTAGCACTTCCTTCTGCCATTAAACTTCAGGTTAGTCTGTTTGAGCCTGCTGTAACACCGTGAAGCAGGGCAGGAATCGTCCGAGCCCCAGCTGTGTGGATAAGAACCCTGAGTCGAGAGGTTCTGAGGCCTACCCCGGCCCTCCAGCCAGGAAGCGGGGGACCCAGAGTTTTAGATGCACAGGCAGGGGCTCAACTTGCATCCTGGATTCATAGGTGGAGTGGGGACAGGACGGGATTGACCCAGGCTCCATCGGATACTTGATCCTCATGTAAACACCTGGCTCCCCGGAGGCCCAGAACCCCCATGGCTGGGCTTTGCAGCTCCCTGCTATTCCGCCTGCCACTCTCAGAATTAATTTGCTCTCTCCTGTCAATGACCCAGGTCCCTGCTTATCAAGAGAGCAACAGCTGTGGGCCAGGGGCCCTAACCTACCTGAGGGGAGGCTGGGGGCCTGATCCCTGCAACTGGGGCCTCCTGTGTGTACCCTTGGGTCCTGGTGGTCTTGAACTCAGAGCCCCAAGAGGGCACAGGGATGAGCCCAGACACCATGTAGTTTACTCCAAGACTCACTGTGTGACCTCGCAGCACATTGTCTGGCCCTCGGCCCCTCACCTGAGGATGGAGAGGGCCAGAGGGCTTGGCTTCTAAGATGTTTCCCAGCTCAAAAACTCCAGAATTCCTTCTTCTGCCCCTCTTTCCTCCACCAGATGGATTTGGGGGTTTAGAGTTAGGGGCTACAGGAGAGGAGTGGGAAGACCCAGCCAGAGAGTGGCTCCCCAGGGAATGACCTGGGAGGCCAGGGCCGGGCAGGAGGCTGGGGCAGCCAGATCCAGCAGCCTCGTGTGTCTGTACCATGTCCTGGCCGTGGGAGGGACCTGGGAGAGGGAGAAGACACACTGGGAGGGGCTTGGGGACCAAGGGGAGGAAGTGCAGAAAGGAAGAAGGGCCTCTTGGCCAGGTCAGTCCAAGGGGTGCGCAGTTGGCCAGCCCCCAATATAGTCAGGCCCATCTTATAATAAGGAAATTGAGGCAGAGAGGCTAATAATCTGTCAGAGGTCTCAGAGCCTGGAGGCAGGGTCACAGCCCAGGGACGAGAACTCTTACAATGCTGGGGGCTGAGTCCTTCTGGAGCCCCTAGGAAGGAGGCAGCATCTGCACATCAGAGGGGCTTCCGGGAGGAGGCACCAGATCCTGTCATGTCCACTTCCAGAGTGATTCTCGTGTCTGGCCCTACCTGCCCCCACTCCCCAGCGCCACTGCCCAGCCTCAGGTTTCAGATCTGCGTCGGTCACTCCTTCACTTGGAATCCACTCTCCTGTGGCCTCCGCGGTCAGGCCCGTGCTCCTGGGTGGGACCTGCCCGGCTTTCTGTAGTCATGGCCCTTTCGCCTTTTGCAGCCAGCCCTGACCACCCACCATGAGTTCCCTCTACTCCCGTTGCAAAGGGTTATTTGACATGCTCCAAATAAACATTTCCAGCCCTCAGTGCCTGGGCACACGCTTCACTTGCTGGCCCTGCCTGAAGTGGCAGCCAGGAGTCCTAGGTTCTCATTCCAGCTGCATGTGAAGCTGGTTAAGGAGCCCTTGGCACAGACCTTCTCTGGGCCTCAGTTTCTCCACCTGCAGAATGGGTAGGAGGATTGGGTGTGGTGCTCTCTAGGCTCCCGTGCGCTTCCCTCTGTGATCCCAGGAAAGGAGCTGGGGTGATGGCCCCTCGACATGGGGTCAATCTGTCAGGGCAGGGCTGGAAGACCCCTTTCCAGGTGCCTCCAGCGCCAGATGAGGTGGAGCACGCCCATGCAATCAGTTGCAAGTGGGTACCCAGAGCTGCACCTCATCATTAAGCACTAATTAATCCATTTACTGATGAGTTGCTGCCAGGACGTCTAGGCCTTCTCCCTAATGCCCTCCCTCCTGCTGCATCCGATCTTCAAAGGGATGGGAAGCATTTCCAAAAATATCCATTTTCCCATGATTCTTTGGGAGGACTGCTCAGCTCAGCAATTAAAGACAAGGAGGTCGCATCCTCCCTGGCAGCGGCTCCCTGCTTGTTGGGCCTGCTTTCTTTCGGATCACCTCCTTTCTCCCATCAAAGCCTGCTTTCTCTGGGTGACGCAGCCTCTGGCGGGACTCCTGGCTCTCCCTCACATGCCGAAGGGGGCAAGGGTGTTGAGCAAAGGGGGTTTCTCCCACAATATCCACCAGTACCCTTTGATGGGGACAAGTGACACGCTCTGAGTCTCGTGTAAGGTTATATAAATATAGCTCCAAGACAATAAAAATAAAAATAACAGCCAACATCACATGCCAGGTACAGTTCCAAGCACCTTGTGCATGTTAACTAAAAATACTCAATTCTTGAAGTAGGAGCCGCTGTTCAGAGGCTCTAACTTACAGAGGAGGAAACTGACAAGTTGCGGGATTTGCCCAAGGTCACACAGCTAGTGGAAGGTAGTGCCAGGATTTGACGCTAGACTGTCTGGGTCCAGGGGCCACACTCTTAGCACTACTCCATGCTGCCTCTTAACTCAAGAACCACCCCCACCCTATCCCACCACCCCCGGGCCCCTGCCAACCAGATCTCTGTCCCCAAGCCCCTTTCCTTGGAGGTATTTCAGAGCGGTCTGTGGTCCCGGGACTTCCCAGCCATGGCAGAGACACTGGGTTGCCGTGGTTCCTCGCCTCCCCCTCCCCTCAGACCTCCCTGAAAACCTGCTGGGTGAGCCTCAGCCCTCCGGTAACTCATCCCTCATTTAGCAATTAGGAGAGAATCAGCAGCCTCTTCACCAACTCTGCCCAAGGGCCTGAGGCTCCCCGAGACTGCAGTCCACTGACATGGAAGAGCCTTAAAAATCCATTTAGCCAGATCTCCCACTGGCCAGCTGTAGCTGAGCAGCTCCTCAGCAGAGGGACCTAGGAGGGGAATGGACGGGAGGAGAGCGAGAGAGAAGAGGCCACGGCTACCTTTCAGCCCTGGAGGCCAGGACAGGCTCCCTATCATCACCCTCTTGTCCTGATGCTGCCAGCAGAGGCAGCTCCCAGGCTGGATGGTCCCTTGGGGATCAGCTGGTCCAGCCCCTCCTTTTATAAATGAGAAAGGGTCCCCAGAGGTCACTCACGCAGCACAGCAGCAGCTGGGCTGGCCCCAGGGCCCCAGCCTCCAGACCCTCACAGGGTTCTACCCCATGGGGCTCCAGACTCAAGGACTGGGACTCCAGCAGCTTTCCCAGCCCTGTTCCAGCCCCAAGGGCCAGTGGGAGCCACAGGAAGGCCTACAGTGAGGGAGACTCCAGGGGAGATGCTCAGGGCTTCATTTCTCTGCCAGGCAGTTCTGCCTGGAGTCAGAGCCAGAATTAACTCAAGGAAGCATGTTTAGAGCTACTGAGGCCAGAGCCGGGTACGGGGTGGGGTGGGGCGACTTCTGCCAGCAGAGAAGATGAGATGGAATTTAGAACTCGTGCTGTCCCTTCCCAGCTGGGTTTCAGGACTCTGGAGCTCGAGCCTGGTAGGCAGGAAGGAGGGCAAGGGGAACACGTTGGGCAGCTCTGCCCATCCCAGGGCCCTAAAGTCAGACATCAATTCGACTCACAGGGCCCCTCCCCATCTCCTTAGAAGGTGACAGGTTCTGGGCCACAATCCAGGCCGGTGACTGCATGAACCTCCATATGTCCCTGGACCACTCTGCTGCCTTCTTCCTTGAGTGACATGGGCCAGTCTAGGAGCAGCTGTGGCAGACCTGAGTGATGACATCTCTCCACACATGCCTGTCACCTGTCATTTTCTGTCCAAGAGACCTCCATCATGGATATTCCCCCCACCCACCCACCACAACCTTCCAACACAGGACTGCTATGGAGAAGTGCCTCCCTGGGGACCTTCCCCAAGATCTGCCCCGTGAACTCTGAGCCCCCATGTGCAGCACGGCCAGGGAGGACCTCCCACGGCAGCCTCTGTGAGATGGCTCTACCACAAGAAGCCCTGTCATGCCACCTGCCACGTGAGCTGTCACCGCATACCCTTCCACCGTGTCATGCCCAGCCTCGTGAAAATTGACTCATGAGGTCTCACCATTTTTTGCTGTCTTACAAGACCCCTGAACAGGAGATTTCTCAGAAGAGCACCTTCCCGTCATCTGCCACCACATAAGGACTTGAAAGGAAACAGCCCAGGGAGCTGGCCAAGCCTGTCCACGGGCCAGTCCTGTGGGCATGATTGTGCCAGCTTGAGTGGGCAGAGCCAGGTCCACAGGTGGGCATCGGGAGAGCCACCAACCCCTGCTGGAGGCCAGTGGGCAGAAAGAGGCAGGAAGATGGGGGTGGTAAGGAAGCCCTTCTCCCCAGCTTCACTCCACAGCCCCCAGCCAGCAGGTGCCTGTGCTGGCCATCTACAGATCCATCGATGCATCCATCTGGGCCAGGATGGCCAGAGAGGGGCCCGGGCTGCCCTGCCATCACTGCCTCTCTCTTCCTTTTCCAGACAATGGCTACCGGGAGTGCCTGGCCAATGGCAGCTGGGCCGCCCGCGTGAATTACTCCGAGTGCCAGGAGATCCTCAATGAGGAGGTGAGGCTGAGCCGAATGAGGCTGCCCATGTGAAGGGGGGTCCAGGGTCCCCAGCAGAGTTTTGTGCCTGCTTCTTGGAGTCAGGGAGCCAGAGGCTAATGTCAAGGTCCTGTCCTAGTGAAGCTGACTGGGGAGCTGGAGCTGTTGACTTGGAAATGGCCCATGAGCAGGCACCCTCGAGGGCGGGCTGGACCAATGGGGCACTGGGCAAGCTCTGATGGTGATGAGACGGGTCCTTGTTCCTTCCTTCCTTCCCCCTGTGCTCATCGGGCAGCCGCTTGCACTGGGCATGGGACTGTCCTGGAGGTGCAAAGGGAGACCAGACTCGGTCACAGGAGTCCCACCCTTTTCCACCACACACGCCTGACAGATACATCCAGTTCCAGCCACGGGGCTGTATGGGAACCAGGGATGGGGTGGAGGTAGCAGTGCAGTTTGAAAAAGCCCTTGGAAAGCCTTTTAAAATGTTAAATGTTTCTGAGCAGATGTTGCTTACACAGAACTCAGAAGGTACAAATGGGAATACAATGTCCCCTCCCACCCCATCCCTGGCCACTGGATTCCCTCCCAGAGGCAACCATTTTGCCAATTTCATAAGTGTCCTTCCAGAGACATTCTCTGCATACATGAGTAATTATATATACGTATTCTTTTTTGTTTTTACCTGAATGTTGCATATTACGCACACTGTCTACACCTTGCTTTTTTCATATAATCATCTATCTTAGAGATGGTTCCATATCAGTACATAAAGAGCATCTTCATTCTCTTTGCATTTGCATAATATCACAAAATGAACCACAATTTATTTAAACCAGTCTTTATTCTCAGTCCTCAGTTATTACAAATGGTGCTGCAATGAATAATCTTTGAAGGGTGATTTTTGGCAGAGGCACAAATATATCTATCCTGGAACTGCTGTTGCCCTCGGTCTCCTTTGCCACCGACGCTGTCTCCCTCAGTGCTGAGGAGGGCGGGGGTCAAAGAGCAGAAGGGGGGACACTCCAGGCTGTCTGAGGGCCAGGGCTTCTGATGGTGGAAGAGAGGGACTGACCTAGGCAGTCCCAAGAATCCCATCGCCTGAAGATCAGAGCTGGAAGAGACCTTGGAGACTCTCCCTCCCATCTTGAGGTTCCCAGACCCGCCTGGTTATAAGAATCGTCCAGAGGCAGATCACCTGGGGTCAGGAGTTTGAGACCAGCCTGTCCAACATAGTGAAACCCCATCTCTACTAAAAATACAAAATTAGCCGGGTGTGGTGGTGCACACCTGTAATCCCAGGTACTCAGGAGGCTGAGGCAGGAGAATTGCTTGAACCCAGGAGGCAGAGGTTGCAGTGAGCCGAGATCATGCCATTGCACTCCAGCCTGGGCAAAAAGAGGGAAACTCCATTAAAAAACAAAACAAAACCAAAAAACGTGGCCAGCTGCAGTGGCTCATGCCTGTAATCCCAGCCCTCTGGGAGGCCGAGGCAGGCAGATCACAAGGTCAGGAGATCGAGACCATCCTGGCCAACATGGTGAAACCTCATCTCTGCTAAAAATACAAAAATTAGCTGAGCATGGTGGCGCATCCCTGTAATCACAGCTACTTAGGAGGCTGAGGCAGGAGAATCACTTGAGCCAGGGAGGCGGAGGTTACAGTGAGCTGAGATTGTACCACAGCACTCCAGCCTGGCGACAGAGCAAGACTCTGTCTCAAAAAAAAAAAAAGTATATGGAATTGCCCAGAGCACCTGTCCAAATACAGGTCCCAGGGCCACACCCAACACCTAAGAAATCACACCATCCAAGGAGGACCTGGGAATCTGTCTTTCATGAGTGCCCCAGGGGAGCCTTCTGATGGGGCAAAAATGAGAAACTAATCTAGTGCAACCCATTCACATTACAGATGGGCAGACTGGGACCCAGAATTGGGGACTGATTCACACAAGATCACATGGCCAGAGTAAGTCAGAGCCTGGAACCCAGGGCTTCGGAGCTCAGGCTCTGCTTTGCCCACTGCCAGGTATCTGCGTGAAACAAAGTTAAGGATAAAGAATCACTTTCCTTCACCCCCAGCTTACTAAGCCCCCACACGGAGAGCCCACCTGGGAAGTCCTGGGATTGGGAGGAGGGCTCTTCCTGGACTGAGGGAAGGAGGTGGGGTTCCAGGTTAGGAGACTTAGTTGGGCCAGAGGAGATGGCCTTGGCTGGGGGAGTGGCAGCGGGCAAGACCGTTCAGGGATGTGGGGAATCCGTAGCCTGGCACACAGTAGAGGAGGTGGGAGGAAAGGAAACGGGGCTGGTGCTCAAAAGAGCGGGTCAGTGCTGTCGGCGACTCAGGACCACACACCATGCCGGAGAGGGATGGTGTTGAGGAGGTACAGCTAAGCCACGAGGTCAGGCTGCAGGCCGCACTGCCTGTCCCAGCCTCACACCCTGCACTCAACCCTCCTGAGGGTCAGGGCGGGGTCTTCACCTGTCTCTCCTGCTCTAATGTAAGCCCCTTCCTTTCAGTTGGCTGATGGGGACACTCGGCAGCCCCCGTTTTCCCCAGCACCCTTCGAAGGCTCAAGGGCAGTAGGTTAGCCACCCTCGGCCCGCCCTGCAACGCCCACCCCTGCCAGGACAGGGGTCTCTCCCTCTCTCCACCAGCAGGGTTAGGACAAGGAAGAGGATCGGGAGCCCGGTCTCATCAGCCCGCTCTTTGCATTGCAGTGGGAATAGCACAGACCTTAGGGTTTGGGTTTCAACGGGAACCTGCTGCATGACCTAGAGGAGGCAACTTAACCCCACCGAGTTCCCGAAACTGGTGGCCAGGAATTCAGATCTCTGCCTTCAGGGGAGGGAAGGGTGGTGTTGGCCTGTCTTGGCCTATGGGAGATGTTCCATTCACCTGCCGCCCCCTGTCTCTCATCTCCCCTGTGAGGTCAGGGGAGGTTGTAATGTACACCTGGGGGAGTGACCTGCCCCACCCCCCAGCCCATCCAAGCCTGGCTCTGCCACCTCTTTCCTCCGCAGCCCCTGCTGGCCTGGTGCCTAGCACTCTGGGTAATCGATTCATTTAATTAGTGAAAATGCCATTCCCTTCTGCCAGCCCCCAGCCTCGCCAGACCCCTCCCAGAACTGCAGAGGAAAGCATCCAATTAATTGAGTGGTAGGTTTCTCAGCTCTGGGCCTGGGCTAAGCCCTAATTAAGCTCCAGCGCCCTGGGGTATTGCAGATAATGGATTCGCAGAAGTCCGCCTGTGAAATGGGACTTGCGAGGGCACCCCAAGGCCAGGCACCCCAGGAGATCTGCCCGCAGCCAGCACCACCAGGGAACAGGCCCGCAACTGGGGAGCCTGTTGCATGCATGGCTGGCCCGGGGATGGCACTGAGCCCCTATTACAACCCCTACACCTGCTCCCCGTGTCAGCACCCTCTCCTCCCCCCACCACCTCCCTCCACTACTGTTCACTCCCTTCCCCACTGTCCGACCTTCCCCCACCCACCCGACACTTGCACACACTCTATTCCCTTTCCCTTTCCCCACACTCTGCTGAGCACACACTCTATTCCCTTTCCCCACACTCTGCTGAGCACACACTCTATTCCCTTTCCCTTTCCCCACACTCTGCTGAGCACACACTCTATTCCCTTTCCCCTGCTAGCCCCTCTTTCCCCCACACTCTGCTGAGCACACACTCTATTCCCTTTCCCCACACTCTGCTGAGCACACACTCTATTCCCTTTCCCTTTCCCCACACTCTGCTGAGCACACACTCTATCCCCTTTCCCCACACTCTGCTGAGCACACACTCTATCCCCTTTCCCCACACTCTGCTGAGCACACACTCTATCCCCTTTCCCCACACTCTGCTGAGCACACACTCTATTCCCTTTCCCCACACTCTGCTGAGCACACACTCTATTCCCTTTCCCCACACTCTGCTGAGCACACACTCTATTCCCTTTCCCCACACTCTGCTGAGCACACACTCTATTCCCTTCCCCTTTCCCCACACTCTGCTGAGCACACACTCTATTCCCTTTCCCCACACTCTGCTGAGCACACACTCTATTCCCTTTCCCCACACTCTGCTGAGCACACACTCTATTCCCTTTCCCCACACTCTGCTGAGCACACACTCTATTCCCTTTCCCCACACTCTGCTGAGCACACACTCTATCCTTTCCCCACACTCTGCTGAGCACCCTCTTCCCCCCCCCCCACCACACTCTATCCCTTTCCCCACCTCTGCGAGCACCACTCTATCCCCCCCACACTCTGCTGAGCACACACTCTATTCCCTTTCCCCACACTCTGCTGAGCACACACTCTATCCCCTTTCCCCACACTCTGCTGAGCACAGGAGCTGGGGCCTCAGACGCAGTCTGGGAGGGCACACTGGTGGCACATGAAACGGAATCTGGGGTCTGGGTTTGTGGGCCAAGGTTCATTGCTCACCGTCTGGGGAGAGGTGGGCAGTGGTGGGACCAGGGCTTCTGAACTGTATAGGTGCTTTTTCCTGAAACGAAGCTCCGATTCCGTGGGCCTAGCGTAGGGCACACATTCCACTTTCCTCAAGATCTCTGCGAGCTCCTCTGGGTGCTGCTGCTGGGCCAGGGGCTGCCCTTTGAGGACTGAGGGACTGGAGTGAGTGCCCGCGGTGGGGTAAGAGGAGTAGCTCTGGCAACTTCAGTGGAGAGGAGGTGCCAGAATGGAGTGGGCACCGGCGGGAGCTTGGAAGGGAGGTCTCATTGCCACCATCCCAGAGAGGCATCGGGACGGGTCTGGCACTGCAGCACCTGGGACGAGGTGGTGTCAGAGTCAGCCGCGCACTAATTGCTTATTCAATTCAGGTCACTGAGGGTACAGCGGAGTGGCCTCTGCCAAGTAGCATGCTGTGCCACCCTCCTTAGGGCGGGGTGCCTGCTGGTCTCAGGTCTCCAGACTGGACGGAGAGGGAGTGCTGGTCAGGGCCCCAGGGGTAGCTGTGCCCATTTGTCCTTTGGACATCCCAGCTGCTTTGCTGTTATCGTGGCCGTCGGTCGGTGTGTGACTGGCTGTCCCTGGGGGTGCTGCTGACTCTCCTCTCCAGGTGTCACTGGCCACCTCTCAGGGTGTTTCTAGGTGCCTTTTAAGGCCTTGCTGTCTCTCTAAATAATGCTGTCCAGAACTCTGGTTGTTATTGGAAATGTCACAGTGTCACTGGCTTCTGTCTGGGTGACGCAGGACGTATTTGTCTCAGGGTATCGGCAGCCATCCCTCAGGCTGTCTCTCCAGCTGTCTTCTCAAGCTGTTTCTCAGGTTGCATCATGCTGATGTGACCAATAAGAGAGAGGGCTTGAACCTGGCCCGGGCCCGACTGCTCAGGGAGCCACGCTGAGACTCTGTCCTCCGGGAATGGTTTCGCCCGATTCTCCCTCTCAGGCTCTTGGGGAAAAGCCCTCATGGGTGCTATCCTCCTGGCAGGAGGTCCCCCGAGGCTCCTGGGCCCAAAATGGAGCGAGACCACCCCAGAGAGTGCCTCTGCTTTCAATTCCTGCTTGTCCCCCCAGAAATCTCCCAGGGGGCTGGGGACGGTGGCTCTCGCCTGTAATCCCAGCACTTTGGGAGGCCAAGGCAGGTGGATTGCCTGAGCTCAGGAGTTCGAGACCAGCCTGGACAACATGGCGAAAACCCATCTCTACCAAAAAATACAAAATATTAGCTGGGCGTGGTGGCGCATGCCTGTGATCCCAGCTACTCAGGAGGCTGAGGCAGGAGAATCACTTGAACCCAGGAAGCAGAGGCTGCAGTGAGCCAAGATCCTGCCACTGCACAACTCCAGACTGGGCGACAGAGTGAGACTCCATCCCTCCCCCACCCAAAAAAAGAAATGTCCCTGGGAAACCAGGAAAAGAGGGATTTCAAAGCCAGGCAGACTCAGGTTCCAGATGCCGGCTGCATGGCGTGGCCAATTATTCAGTCTCTTCAACGGGAAGAACTGGGATGAGAGGAGCAGTCTCCAAGGGCAGCTGTGGGAAAGAAAAGCAGTGGCATCTGCAGAGCTCTTGGCACAATGCTCAGCATACAGCAGGTGCTTAATAGATGACTCCTCCCCACTCCAACCCCAAGGGCCTGGTGCGGCCTGACTCAGGAGCGAGGTGGGGCCTGGCAGGTGGCAGTGAATGGTCTGCCTGCACACTGTGCCCTCCCGCCCAGCCTGGGCCTGTGAACAAGGCCGGGGTGTCATGCCATGCTCGGCTCCACACATGCTGTCATTACCCAGGGGCTTCTCAGCATGGATTTGTGGAAAATTTAATAAAAGGATATTAAATACCAGCTCCAGACAGGCTGTGATCCGTGCATATCTTCCGGAGCCTCTGGATTGGGGCATCTGCCGCCAGGCGCTTAGAGACCCCCCCACTTGCATGGGTGATGGGTCCCCTCTCCTCACTCCCCTGTGTCTCTCTCCTGCCTTTGTTTACACCTCCCTGGATCCCAGTCCTTTGGAGGCTGGAGTTGTTAATGTAATTTCCTGCCATGTTCCAGAAAGCCTCTGCCTGGAAACCAGCTCTGAGAACAGAGCTTCTGTAGGAGCCTCCGGACCTAAGAGGTTCCCGATGAGGATGCCCCTTCAGAAGGGCCTTGGTGGCCGGGCGGAACTGGGCATAGGGTCTTGGCTCCTCCTGGAATGCCTGGTGGATAGGGCTGGACTTGACCTCTGGTTTCGTGTGGGTTCTGTAATTCCAACAGGAAGGCCTGTGGAGTAGCTCCTTGGTGGCTCTGAGAGGATGATGAGGGCCGTTGTGAGCTCCCCACTTCTCGGCGCTTGCATGTCACCCGCTTCTGTGCCTCATGATCATTCAGCCCCACCCCAGAGCCTGGAAACGGGGAGGGAGGGAGGTGCTGCCAGGGACCCCTCCTTTCCCAAAGCCACCTGCTTTTCAACACCTGTCTTTCTTTCCTTCACTCACACAACTGCTTCGGAGTTCGACTGCGTGTCAAGCTCTTGGTTTCTAGGCCCTGCTTCTTGGGACCTATAAAAGTGTGGATGGGGGCTTTGCTCTGGGGCAGGAGTCTGCAGAGAGCTAGGCATGGGGACTGGCCAGTCCCCTATTATGGGCTGGGGACCTGTTTGCAGCCTTTGTACCTTGCCAGTCTGCACGTGCAGGCAAGAGGTGGTTTTGAAGTTGCGCGACCTCCAGTGCGTCAACATAACCTCTGTGCTGTTTTCCTACAAACTAAAGCCCAGAAGCCCTTTCGGCTCCCCCTATGGGGTTGCCCTGATGGTTTCAGACGATAACAGATATGAAAATCCTCTGTAAATGGGAAGGCTTCATCACTCTTGGAACTTAAGATTGCTGTAAAGAGGAGGGCAGTGACCTCCATCAGTATATTAAATTCATTAGGAAATAAACCCGGGGAATGTGTTCCAGTCCTGGGAGAGGATCCTGTTCACTTTGCACAGATCCCCTTGGGCCAGGGATGGGGAAGGCCCTGGAAAGTGAGTTATGGAGCCTAAGGAGACTGTTCTGTGCTTTCGGCTGATTCTGTGGATGCCAGAGCCCAGCAGCTGTCCGGCCCCTCCTCGCTCACAGGAGCAGGCGGCGTTGCAGCAGGAGGGATTCAAGGGCGGCCGAGACGGTAGTGACTCAGTTCAGAAATGGGTGGAGAAGATAAATCCCGGGAGGTTGGTGTCTCTGCAGCTGAGAGGTCCACCTGGTGTTCCGACCGGGTGGCAGCATGGGCAGATGCGACTGTGAGGGCGCACCTGTGAGCCGGCCACACACGCTTATGCGTGCAGAGGGGGCGTCCGTGTGGAGTGGGGAATCCCACGTGATGTGGAGACTCAGACACAACACAGAGCAGTGAACAGAGCATGGGATTCAGGGACAGACAGAGCCTCAAACTGGACAGCATTGCTCTGCAGCGAGGCCTGACCCACAGCAGGTACTCAGGAAGGGGGAGTGGCCCTTGAGATCATGACCTGCTCCGTCCCAGCCACCCCCAGGCAATGTCCTCATAGAGCGGCTCCCATCCAGCAGGCGCAAGGGCATGGCTGTGCAGAAAGCTCACCTCTGCCCCTCTCTCCTGCTCCAGAAAAAAAGCAAGGTGCACTACCATGTCGCAGTCATCATCAACTACCTGGGCCACTGTATCTCCCTGGTGGCCCTCCTGGTGGCCTTTGTCCTCTTCCTGCGGCTCAGGTGAGCAGACCCCAGCACTGCGTCCTCTTGTCCCCCGGCCCTAGAGCAGGAGCAGGGTGGAGAAGTGAGAGGAGCAGCTCGAGGTCGGGGTGGGGGTTGCTGGGAGAGGGTGGTAGGGCCTGGCTTATCCGAGAGTCTCAGGTCTCCGGGAACCTCTGGCAGAGCCGCTCTGCCCCCTCCGCAGTAGCTGCTGGAATGGTGGGGAGGGACAAAGCTTGTTTTATGTCACCCACACCCAGGACGGGCTGCACCCATTGGGGTGACCAGGCAGATGGTGCCCTGGAGGTGGGGGCTCCATGGAGTGGTGACCCATTTCAGGTTCGAAAGTACATGGGCCCCAGCACTACCGCCAAGGATGCAGGTGGCAGAGCCAGGGATGGGGATGGTTGGGATCAGGAGCCGAGCATCAGGGCTGGAGGCTGGGAGCAAGGCTGACCCCTGTGACTGTCCATCCTGGAATGGCAGGGAGTGGAAGGCACCCCCAGGGGAAGCAGGCATCCCCAGGAAGCCAGCTGCCCTGGTCCATGGAGTGCCAGGCAGAGCCTGGGGCTTTTGTCTGGGTGGGTTGCAGGCAGGAAGGGCTCCATGGGGCATTAGGAGAGCCTTGCTGTCACTTCCCTGTGTGACTTGGCCAGTCAGCCCTACCCTGTGCCTCAGTTTCCTCATCTACACATCTGGGTTGGGGTGATGTGGGTGGCCTGCCCCTTATCCTCTCTCTCCTGTCGCTCCCATCATCCACCTGCCCTGCTGCACCAGGAGCATCCGGTGCCTGCGAAACATCATCCACTGGAACCTCATCTCCGCCTTCATCCTGCGCAACGCCACCTGGTTCGTGGTGCAGCTAACCATGAGCCCTGAGGTCCACCAGAGCAACGTGGTGCGTCCTGGCGGGGGAGCGGGGAGCAGGTCAGGCCAAACCCACGTCAGAGAAGGGGCCCAGGTGGGCCTGCCCTGCAGAGGAGGAGCCCACAGAACAGGAGTGGGATCCCAGGGTGTGCCCCGTCCTGCCTGGGGGAGGCCCAGGGCCAGGGTTTGGTGCCACCCCTGCCCCTCATCATCATCTTTGGTTGGGGGTGGGGTGGCAGGTCTGGTGCAGGTTGGTGACCGCCGCCTACAACTACTTCCATGTGACCAACTTCTTCTGGATGTTCGGTGAGGGCTGCTACCTGCACACAGCCATCGTGCTCACCTACTCCACCGACCGGCTGCGCAAGTGGATGTTCATCTGCATCGGCTGGGGTGAGCTGGGCAGCCACCTCCCCAGCCTGGGCAGTGGCAGCCACCGTGCTGCCGTCTCCTCACCCAGACTCAGGCCAGAGGGCTGGGGGGCCTGAGGGATGGAGGTCGGGTTGGGGCAGTGGGGTGTGTGCCATAGCCCTCTGCTCCTCTTGGGGGTGGGGGGCAGCAGGAGCACCTTGAAGGAGGTGTGTGAGTTTGAGATCCACCCTGGGTAACCCTAGACCGCCTGGAGCCTGGGCTGCACTGGGGTCCTCCAGGCCCACATTCCCCAGCCCCCGCTGAGGGCTCTGTGACAGCCCATCTCTCCCCCAGGTGTGCCCTTCCCCATCATTGTGGCCTGGGCCATTGGGAAGCTGTACTACGACAATGAGAAGTAAGTCACCTCCTTTCCCTTCCTGCCCCCAAGGTTTAGGCTCCCAGCCTAGCTTGGTGACACTCCCAAGGGCCTTGGGCCATGCTGGCTTTCCCCTCAGGACCATGGCTTCTGCATCTGTAAAGGGAGGGATCTGGGGGGTTGGACTCATTCAGAGGGTCCCTGCCTGTGCTCTGCCTGGGTGGGACTGGACAAACAGGATCCAGCCTCCTTTATCTGCCTTGAGCTTACACAGGAAGCAGCCTGGAGCCAGACTGCCCAGGTTCAGAATCGTGGCTCCGTCATTAAATAGCTGTGTGACCTTGGACGGATTACTGCAGCGTGCCTCAGTTTCCTCATCTATAAAATGGACATACTTCCTCAAAGGGCTGTTGTGGGGTGATATCAGTCCATCTATATTAAGCATTTAGAATCGGACCTGGCACATAGAGCAAATGCTGTATAAATGTGTTCTCGTAATATTAAGACATCTTAATAGAAGAGTCCGTGAATTTAACAGAAGTGGACCTAGATGATCCCAGAGGCTTCTTCCAGCTCTGAAGTTCTTTGGTTCCTTATGAAACGGACTCAGGTGTTTCCAGTCGTGCCTGGAAACTTGATTTCTGCTGCAGTGGTGCTCAGCCTTGGCTCACATTAGAATCACCTGGGATGCTTCGAAAAGTACCAGTGCCCAGGCTTCACCGCCAGAGAGTCAGGTGTAATTAGTCTGGGGTGTGGCCTGGCACCCAGAATTCTTGAAAACTGCCCAGGTGATTCTAATGTGCAGCTAAGATTGAGAACCACTGAGAGAGAGGGGGGCAGAAAAGGTGGACGTGGATGGCAGGGGAGCCCCAGGACCTTGTTTGCCAAACAGGTGTTCCCAGGAACCTATCTGACTGACTGACCTGGCGTCCAAGTGGCCTCCACCACAGTGACAAGCCCTCTCCTCACCCCACGGAGGGGAGGGGGCCTGCATGGCTTCATTGGGCTGACGAAGGAGCCTGGAAGATTATCTTGCGTGTTTAGGAGGTTAACTCCCTCCTGACTCAGGCTAGCTGAGGCCTTGGGAGGCCGAGGCGGGTGGATCACTTGAGGTCAGGAGTTTGAGACCAGGCTGGCCAACATGGTGAAACCCCATATCTATTAAAAAAAAATACAAAAATTAGCTGGGTGTGGTGGTGCGCACCTGTAGTGCCAGCTACTTGGGAAGGCTGAGGCAAGAGACTCTCTTGAACCCAGGAGGCAGAGGTTGCAGTGAGCCAAGATCGTGCCACTGCTCTCCAGCCTGGGCAACAGAGCAAGACTCCACAAGCCTCAAAAAACAAAGCAAAACAAAAACTGTTTGGGCTAAAGGAGAAAGTGAGTCTGAGCGGCTCTGAGGCCCCACCTGGTGGTGAAAATTCAACACTGCAACAGAGGGGATCTGGGTGTGAGAAAGCAGAAACGAACTTGCAGACCAGAGGCTCAAGGACTGGACCCAGCCCACAGAAGCTGTGTGTGGCCGGCAGGGTGTTTTCTGGAAACTCGATTTTGTAGCCAAGCTTTAAAAAATCCAAAGGTTTCGTATACAAATCTCAATTTCTGGCTTATGAGATCTAGCCACTGGGGGTCTTCTTACCCACGGGGACATAAGGGCTTCCAGTTTGTCTGGTCCCCACCCACTCCCCAGGCCTCCCTGGAGCTTGCTGGAGGGACACTCAGGAAAATGCAAAGCAATTACCCCCTGCAGCAGGTAGAACCTGTGCAGATGTTCCTCTCAAGGTCGTTCGGGCTGCGATTGGACAGGTTCAGGCTGAGATTGAGAACTGCTGGGTGCCCACTGGGTGACACGTGTGGTACCACTCCCACCAGCAGCCCCCCAGAGGACATGCTGGGCCTCAGCCACAGCCAGGGGACCGTGAGGAGGAGCCAAGGATGCAGCTTGCGTATTGAGCTCACGCCCGTTCCCGGCCACGCAGTCTTTCCCACTGTCTGCCTCCTGCCCCGATGCTTGCTTCCAACTTTGCATCTCATCACAGAGGATGCTGTCCATTCTGCAGATGGGACAACTGAGGCTTGGCAGTGGGATCAAGTGACTTGACCTTCTGCCAGGGTTGGAATTGGGACATCTACCTCCTGGCTTCCAGCCCCAGTCCTATCCTGGCCAAGCACTGTCCCTCCCCATGCCACCGAGGCAGATGCAGATGATGACTCCTCCCCTTTCCTCTGTGGCCTTCTAGGTGCTGGTTTGGCAAAAGGCCTGGGGTGTACACCGACTATATCTACCAGGGCCCCATGATCCTGGTCCTGCTGGTAAGAACCTGGGTAGGGGCAGGAGACAGGGCCCAGTGGGGAGGGGCGATCAATGCCAACCGTGGACAGAAAGGACCCCTCTGCCTAGAGGTGGGGGCCACCCAAGGAGGGGGCATGGGCCAGGGATGTGCAGCTGCTCCTGAGGAGGAGGGAGAACAGCAGGAGCACTGAGGCCAGAGAGGCCAGAACTGAGAAGCCTGGGTCCCCAGCCTCTTGCACACTCCAGCCCGCTGGTGTGCTCAAATTGCAGATCAATTTCATCTTCCTTTTCAATATCGTCCGCATCCTCATGACCAAGCTCCGGGCATCCACCACGTCTGAGACCATTCAGTACAGGTAACCGGGTACCGCCTCCCCCAGGCCTCCCCCTGATGAAACCCCTGCTCCCCATGCCTCTCACGTGCCAGAGACCTGCCACTCCCTCCCCCGACCTGGCCCTCTGCTGAGCCAGCGGGCAGCCAGTCCTGGGGTGGGCTGTGACTCCAAGCCTCCCCACCTGCCCCACCCCAGGAAGGCTGTGAAAGCCACTCTGGTGCTGCTGCCCCTCCTGGGCATCACCTACATGCTGTTCTTCGTCAATCCCGGGGAGGATGAGGTCTCCCGGGTCGTCTTCATCTACTTCAACTCCTTCCTGGAATCCTTCCAGGTACAGCCCTGGAGGGGCACACTGGCACCTCCTTGGGTGGGGATTCTCCCAAGCAGATGCCTGGAGGGTAGGAGGCCAGGGAGAAGCAAGGGGCAGCCCAGAGGCTGGGTGGGCAACACCTGTGACCGACCTTTGACGCCTCCTCTCTCCTCCCCAGGGCTTCTTTGTGTCTGTGTTCTACTGTTTCCTCAACAGTGAGGTGAGGACCTGGGGGCCCTGCGGCGGGGCTCAGGGCTGCAAGGCCTGTTGGGGCTGGCGATAGTCTAGAGCCTTCTCCTCCCCTCCCAGGGCTGGCTCTCTCCCTCCCTGTTCCTCCTAGGTCCCTAGGGGGATGCTGCTGGGAGCCCCAGGCCGGCCCCTCCCACCTGTCCACTCCCACAGTGACAGCTCTCTCCTTTGCTCTCAGAGGCCGCTGGCACCAGGCTGGAAGCCAGAGCTCCAGTATCTTTGATGAGCCTGTGACAACCAGGAAGGGCTGAGCCCTGGGCAGGGGATATGTGTGGGTTGAGAGCAGGAAGCCTTGATGGCAAAGGCCATATGGTGTCTTCGTGTGGGTTAGAAAAGGGTGCCCCTTCCCCAGGACATTTGAGAAACCTGTTCCGGCAAATATGCAAAGCAGCCATGTTAAGGCTGTGAGTGCCATCGCCTCCTGAGGACTTCTGTGTACTCAGCTGACCTGCACAGCCTCTTACCTGAGCAGCTGCTCATGCCGACCCAGGGGAGGGAGGGGGTCCTGAGCGCCAGGCTCAGATGTCATGCTCCTTCCTGTGCCCACAGGTCCGCTCTGCCATCCGGAAGAGATGGCACCGGTGGCAGGACAAGCACTCGATCCGTGCCCGAGTGGCCCGCGCCATGTCCATCCCCACCTCCCCCACCCGTGTCAGCTTTCACAGCATCAAGCAGTCCACAGCAGTCTGAGCTGGCAGGTCATGGAGCAGCCCCCAAAGAGCTGTGTCTGGGGGGATGATGGCCAGGCTCCCTGACCACCCTGCCTGTGGACGCGACCTGTTAGGTCTCATGCCCACTCCCCCAGGAGCAGCTGGCACTGACAGCCTGGGGGGCCACTCTCCCCCTGCAGCTGTGCAGGACTGTAGCTCATGAGTGGAAAGTCATCTACAGGACTGGGCCAGTCCCGGGCCCTCTGGCTTCCCTGCCCAGTCCTCCGTGGAGAAGGGACGTGGAAATGAATGGAAATGGGCTGCTAGACACCCACAGCAGCACGCGCGTCCCTCCAAGGCTGTCTTCTCCCAGAGCACAAGAAGTCCAGCCCACTGGGACCTGGGGCTGCCCTCGGCAACTGTGGGGAGGCCGTTTGCTGCCCCGGGGCATCACGGGCAACTCGTGACAGCCTCTGACTCACCACGATGACGCCTCTGGACCTCGGTGATGCCTTCCGACACCACTGGGAACCAAGGGCCCTCGCTCAGGAACCCTGGAGACAGAAGTCAGGTGTCATCGTTAGATGTGTGGCCACAGCACTAGAGTCACCCCCCAGGCCTCCAGAACCTCATTGACACTGTGGCACTGCCACCAGCAATGCCCTGCCTCGCTGCCTTCATCCTGAACACTTACTACCCTGCAGGCCAGGCCAGCTTCCCCTCACTTAACCACAGGCAGTACCCTCACCCCACACCAGTCACCTCCTGCCCCTTTTCCTCTTTTGTGAGAAGAGGGGGCTGGAGGGGGCAGAGTGGCCTGTGAGCAAGAGCCAGGGGTGTCCCAGCCCCGGCCTCTGGGGCAGAGCTTGTAGCCCCGGATGGCCTCTGGGGCAGGACCACTAGCTAAACAAGCCAGGAGAAGGCTCCTGCCCAAGTGGCTCTTGGGACAACATGCTGCTTACACTCTAGGTGTGGACTGGCTACAGCCCCCACTGACCTGCCCATGTCCAGAGGGACTGGACAGCCAGAGCAGGGCTTTGGGGGGCACTAGAAGATGAGGGTATCGGCTGTGAGGCGGGTGGCTGGTATAAATAATAATATTTATCTTTTCAACCAGCATTTGTGAAGGCCTGGACTCCACAGGGGGCTGGATGGAGAGGGTGTCTCACAGAAGTGGGAGCCATTTCCCAGCTTTCAGGGGCTGCTGTGTTGCTGGGAAACCTGACCCCACTCTCACCCCGGCAAGGATGGTGCCAGGAGAGCCCCCGAGGGCCAGGAGAGGGGTGAGGGCAGAAGGGAGGGCTTCGAGGAACAGGTGGATCTGGCCAGGGCCCCCTTAGTTAGGGACAGCTTGTTGTGAGGAGGTCAAGTAGAGGGAGAGGAGGACCAGGGTTAAGGATGCAGAGGAGGGACACCATGGGTCAGGGGAAGGAACAAAGGAGACAGGAGTGTGTCCCAGCCCTGGGCAGGAGCTGAGCTGAGGAATGGGAAGCAGAATTAGGGTGCTGGGCCACCGGACAGGCCAGAAATGCAGCTATCTCCGCTTGGGCACCACAAGAGACCATCCCTGAGACCCTGAGGTTTCTTGTGCAAACTCGAGGGAAGGGGAGTACAGAGAGGGCAACAGGGAGTAAAGCCAGGCAAGGAAGGCAGGGGAAAGCGGGGAGGCTAGAGAGGGACACAGTAGCCTGTGAGCAAGAGAGGTATGTCCCAGCCCTGGCCAGTGCTGCTCTGATGTGGGCAGCACGCTCTTGGGCTCCCCTGCCTGCTGGCTTCAGTGCCCCCAACTCTGAGCTGGAGCTTGTAGCCCTGGGTGGCCTCTGGGGCAGGACCAACATTCCAACACTGTTGCGGGTGCCTGGAGCTCCCTTCCGCTGGGGAAGCCCTCCCTCATCCCACCCAACAGGTGAGGGAGCTGGGGTATTTATCCACCATCTCCCATCAGCTGTGGGTTGAGGGCTGCTCCCAGGGGGACATGAACTCTTCTGCATTCCCACATCAGGCTACAGAGGGCCAGAGCGAGTTCTCAGGCACAGAAACGCGCAGGTGGGTGGAAGCCAGTGTGTGCTGCATTGGAGGGGCAGGGGGTGTGGGTGGAACACCAGAACTCGACACAGGGCCCCACTGAAGCCCGGGCCTTGTCTCTGGGTCTCTCTAACCAGGGAGGAGAGCCCATGGGTGGGGCGTATGTATGCACATGTGCACTTGTGCACCCAGGCGCACACAAGAGCTTGCAGCGTCAGGACACCAGGAACAGACAAAGTCAACGCAGTGCCAGGAGCCCCGCGGCACCTGCTGAGGGAGGGCAGGTTTCACTGGGAAGGGCCTGGGCTCGGGGGTAGCTAAGGATATCCTTGAAGGCCCTGTGGGGTACTCTGCTTTGCCAATTCTCCAAGCTCTGTGCCCTGAAGTAGAGAGATGGGGTGGAGGACCCAGGGAGCACCATGACAGAGGCAGGCTGGAGGCTTCCAGAGCAACTTGAGGGTATTGTGGGAAGTGGAGAGAAGCCAAGTAAAGGGTCCTGGCTGCCTGGAGAGACCAGAAGTGACCTGAGTCTCTAATGGCCACAACGGAGATGGCTTTCCCAAATCTGCCTCTCACCCAGTGAAGGCAGAGACATGAGAAGGCAAGGCTTTCCCGAGACAGTGCCGGCGGGGATGGGATGGGGGGCACACCCCAGGGGTGGAGGAGCTGAGAGGGTGGGGGTGGGGGGGAGACAGGGAAGGGATGGTACAGACCAGGAAGTGTGCGTAAGCGCAGCCTGGCCGCACCCCGCTTTCCTGCGTGGGCTTCCTGGCAGCTCTCACTGCCAGGCACCTTCTGGGCACCTACTGTGTGCTTAGCACTGTGCTAGGCCTTGGGTGAGAGGGAGATGAGCAGCCACCCCAGGGGGGCCCCCTGGTACCCCAAAAAATACAAAGCTCAGAGCCTCTGGCTCTGGAAGGCCACCAAGAGGACAGCTCCAAGACAAGTCTGGGGGTCATCCGAGAAGCTGGAGGCGGAATCCCTGGGCAGGCAGATGGAGCCTGGGGCTCCCCTCCCATTCTGAGGGTGGAGGGGCTGCTTCAGGGCACAGCCAGAGACATCTGAGCCTCAGCACCTGCAGCCCAGAGGCCCAGAGTGTTCTGTGTCCCGTGGCAGACGTGCGCTCTGGGCTTCGGCGCAGACAAGGCGTCCCTGAGGCCGGGCATCTGGGCCATTCTGCTCCGGTTCGGCTTGGGGTGGCGAGGCCCCTGTGGGAGTGAGTGGGGTATGATGAGCCGAAAAACACACATGCGACTACACAGAGTTGGGGGAGCTACTGGGGGCCCTCCAAGCTGCAGTGGTGGGGGAGGGTCACTGGAGACCCTCCAAGACCCGAAAGACCTCATGCCTAGAAGAATTTCTCTCCACACCATGCCCAAAGGCTGCGGTCCCCTAATGCTACCCCCACCTAAGCCCATTTCTCCTTGACATCCTCCTTCATGGGCACAGAACAGCAGTGGAGGCAAAACCCCACTGTTTTTCCAGTTCAGGCCACCCCCTCCCCGTCCCTTAGTGTGACAGCACAGCCCCTGCCCAGAGGTCCTCAGCTTCACCTCCAGGCCTCCTTCTCTAGCCCCCTGCTACTGATGGCTCAGCTGTCCTGGGACCAGGACTGGGAGGGGAGTCAGACTGGGAAAACCATGTGTTAGCGGGTGAGGTGGGTTTTGAATCCATAGACTAATACTTTCATTGTGGGTATTGTAGATTACTTTGCCATCCACAAATGTCCTTATAACATTTGTCTTCTAATCCTCCACTAGCCCACAGAGGTAGTAACCCGCCTGTTTTGCAGCCAGGGAAACTGAGGCCTGGTAGCTCCCCTGAGGTTGAAGGTCTGGTTCCAAGTCTAAGGCTTTTTTCACCCCTCAGTGACCTGAAGTCTTTGGGGCTTGGGTTCTGGGAGGCCAGAGCCAATAAAGAGCTCTGTGGCAAGAGGGCAGCAAGGAGGCCTCAGGGTCTCGGACTGATCTGGGACGTGCCCCACGTGAAGATGGGACATTCCCAAAGATGGCCCCACCAGTGTCCAGCCACCGAGCCCAGCTGGGTGGAAGCAAAAAGAGTTCTGTGGATCCAGCATCTCCTTCCCCAGCTTCCTGACATCCTCCACACCCCCACTCCTTAAAATGATACTTCATTTCAAACAGTGCGGCCGGGGCCACCATCAACCACAGTGGGCCTCCCTACACACCAGTCAGGGAGTGTGCCACTGGCCTCCAGCCCAGGGGTATCTCAGAGCCACCTCATCCAAACTGCCAACTGACTTCAAACTCAGCTGCCCACACTTGCTTCAAACCGAGGGGAATGCTTTCTACAATTTGCTAACAGCCACACTGATCATTATTGATTGTTTACTGGGCATCAGGTGCTGCTTAGCCCCTCATATGTTTATCCCATTGACTCTTTACACTGCCCTATGAGCCAGGGACTGTTACCTCTGTTTAACAGATAAGGTAAATAAAGCCCAGAGAGGTTAAGATACTTGCCTGATGGCACCCACGGATGGATGAAAAGCCAGGGGAGGCCACACTAGGCCTCCATGAAGCTTAACCCCTATGCAGTGGGAGTTCTTAGTAAGGCTGTCCTCCCAGCCCCACTGCCCCTTCCAATCCCCTCCCCAGGGAAATCCTTCCATCCCCTGTCTGTGGTCAAACAGCATTCAGAGATGAGCTAGCTGAAGGAACTGGAGCCTGCAGAGCGTGGGCCTCGGGCAGCCCACTCCCCAAATCGGGCCTCCAAGCCAGTTCCAGCTGCCAGTCTCCCGTCCCCAGCCCCATCCCAGCTCTACCTCGGAGCATCACCTCCCACCCTTGCCCTCAGCTCACCAGCCCCTGCAGGTCCTGCTGGCAGACCAGGCTCAAGAGAGACCTGGGCTGTATATATTTATCGAAACTCTCAATGGGTTGGGAACACCGAGACCATTATTTGGAGATAAGGCCAGAGACCACCCTTGGCCACCAGATAGCAGCCCTACCAGCTTCTGTCCCTCCAAGGGGTCCTGCACTGATCCCTGCTGCCCAGCCTCATTGACCATTGGGCCAAGGCAAGTGGGGCAGAAGAAGGGGTGGGGGCCTCTTAGGTGCCTAAGGAGCCCAGGTTGGGGGCATAGCAGGCATCAGCTAGGGTGAGGGGCATGGGGGCAGCAGCCAGTGGGCCTGCCTGGCTCACGCTCAATACAGGGGAAGGGGGAGGGAGTGGACGGCAATCCACTCTAGAACATGCAGTGGAGAAGCTGCTGGGCAGGGCAGCAGGGGCAGGTGAGGGGCCAGGTGAACTAGGCCCTTTTCCACCCTTCCTGAGACCCGCTGCCCGGGGTTTGTTGCCCTTGCTGCCCTGTGTAGTGAAGTTAAATGTTCCAGGTGTACGTAGGTCCTCAAGTAGAAAGCAGAGACATTATCCCAGCCTGCTCTCGGCAGCCACCCTGAGAGCCCAGTCCACAGCTGAGGGGGCAGTAGGGTGCGGGGAGGGAGGGGGAGTTGTGGGGAACAAAGTCGCAGACGCAGGGGGTGCCCTCCAGGAAAGGAGTTGAATCTGGAGGTCAGTGGGGGTGGGGAGGGTGGCAGGGCTGAAGTCTTGGAGCAGGATTTCAGCCTGGCAGTGGGCCATAGCCTCAAGGAGCATCAGCCACTCATGTGAAGGCACTGACCAAGGCTCCGAGTGGCCACCAGAGGAGCGATTCCAGGGCTGATGAATGGGGGTGGGCACAGGGATGGGGGACCTGGGGAAGCAGTGATCAAACATACCGCGAAAGCCTTCTGTGAGCAGGGTCCCAGGCAGAGTCTCGGAGGGAATAAGCCTTCTGAGAATTATCTGAGCCCTGGGTAGATCCACGGGTAGATTTGGGAGAAGGGGCAGGAGCAAGCTCTGCTTGAGGTGTCTGTGCAGACCCCCAAATTGGGGCATGTGCTGGTCTGATGGAGTCCAGAAGAACTAAAATGAGACCCGTCCTGAGGAGAGAGCAGCTGGAGGGGACTGGAGTTGCTCCATTTCATCTGGGCACAGTGGTTCACACCTGTAATCCCAGCACTTTGGGAGGCCAAGGTGGGTGGATCACTTGAGGTCAGGAGTTTGAGACCAGCCTGGCCAACATGGTGAAACCCTGTCTCTCCTAAAAATACAAAAATCAGCCGGGCGTGGTGGCACGTGCCTGTAATCCCAGCTACTCAGGAGGCTGAGGCAGGAGAATCCCTTGAACCTGGGAGGTGGAGGTTGCAGTGAGCTGAGATTGTGCCACTGCACTCCAGCCTGAGGGACAAGAGCGAAATTCCATCCCCAAAAAAAGTCCCATTTCAACCATGTTAGTGCACAATTCAGTGACTTTAAATACACAATGGCATGCAACTGTCACCGCTGAGAGAGAAAAAGTTCTGGAACTTCTTCATCACCCCAAATGGGAACCCCACACCCCTCAGGCACTCCTCATTCTCCCCTCCCCCAGCCCCTGCCCGCCACGCATCTGCTCTCTGCCTCTGCAGATCTGCCTGTTTGGGCTGTTTCATGTAAGCAGAATTAATTGTACAATATGTGTCCCTTTGTGTCTGGCGTCTTCATTTAGCATAATGTGTTTCCACTTAGCATAATGTTTTCAAGGTCCATGCACATGGTAGCAGGTATCAAAACGTCATTCCTTCTTATGGCTGAACGCGATTCCCTTGTGTGGAGAGACGGCAGTTTCTCCATTCGTCAGCGGATGGACGTTTGGGTTCTCGCCACCTTTTCCAAGTTATTATGAATGGTCCTGCTGTGAGCATGCATGTGCACGCTTTTGTTTGAAGGCCTGATTTCAATTCTTTGGGATATATATCCAGGAGTAGAAGTGTGAGGTCATATGGTAACTCTTTGTTTAACTTATCTGGGAGCCGCCAAGCCGTTTCCTGCAGCGGCGGCACAATTTTCCATACACCAGCAGTGTATGAGGGTCCCAGCTTCCCTATATCCTCCACAAAGCTTGTGATTGTCTGGGTTTTGTGACAAAGTGGATGTGCTGGTTCTTGTTTTTTAAAAGATCCACGACTCCCTGGGTGGAGAACAGGGCCCCCAGTGAAAGCCTAGGTTGCTCATTCATTGCTGGGGGGCCAGAAAGGCTTTTACTATCACAGCCCTCTGTCAGGGGCTGCCTGCCCTCCTGCCCTGCTGTGCCCAGCATCTATGTGCTTGGATTCAGAGAGGTGCGCCCAGTTTAGACACAGCTATACTCTGTGATAAGAACCCTATGGGCGAGCCTCCCTCTCCTAACCACCCTCCTGGCCAACCTCCCCTTTGAAATGGGAGCACTCGGAAGGGACAGCTGGCAGCCTCCTCCCCTGGGCTCTGCCTGCTTCTCCTCACACCGGCTGGTGGAGTGTCTGCCAGTCACTTGCATTTGTTCCCGAACGTGTTTCTGACAGTTCACTTGTCATTGTAATTACTGTTGTAATCTAACTAAATGTTATATTACTGATGAATCAGAAGTGCACTAACAAGGAGAGATGTTTCTTACGAAAATTCAGGCTAATGCTTCGAAAGATACTTTACAGTTGAGTCACCAAAAATATTGGCAAATTAGGTGTGGGAGAGACGAGTGTAAATAACTGGGTGGGAGAGAATTGTCAGAATCACAGGTGGGTTCCACTTGCTGACCACTTCACAGGGCCCTTTAAACTCGCCCTCCACTTCAAAGAATCAACAGCTGATGTTGGAGATGATGTTTCATCCCTGTGGGTTTCCCAAGGAAAGCAGTGTGGAACTGTAAGAGACGGACCTGTAATAGAAGGAGAGGCCTTCACAGGCACGGTGGCTCACGCCTGTAATCCCAGCACCTTGGGAGACCAAGGTGGCCGGATCACCTGGGGTCAGGAATTTGAGACCAGCCTGGCCAACATGGTGAAACCCCATATCTACTAAAAATACAAAATTAGCCGGGTGGGGTGGCAGGCACCTATAATCTCAGCTACTTTGGAGGCTGAGGCAGGAGAATCGCTTGAACTTGGGAGGTGGAGGTTGCAGCAAGCCACTGTACTCCAGGCTGCCTAGGGGACAGTGAGACTCCGTCTCAGAAAAAAAAAAAAGAAGGAGAGGAAGGAGAGGAAGGAGGAGAGGAAGGAGGAGAGGAAGGAGGAGAAGGAGGAGGAGAAGGAGGAAGAGAAGGAGGAGGAGGAGGAGGAGGAGAAGGAGGAGGAGAAGGAGGAGGAGAAGGAGGAGGAGAAGGAGGAGGAGAAGGAGGAGGAGAAGAAGGAGGAGAAGAAGGAGGAGAAGAAGGAGGAGGAGAAAAAGAAGAAGAAGAAGAAGAAGAAGAAGAAGAAGAAGAAGAAGAAGAAGAAGAAGAAGAAGAAGAAGAAGAAGAAGAGGAGAAGAAGAAGAAGAAGGAAGCAGAAGAAGGAAGCAGAAGAAGAAGCAGAAGAAGAAGCAGAAGCAGCAGAAGCAGCAGAAGCAGCAGAAGAAGAAGGAGAAGAAGAAGAAGAAGAAGAAGAAGAAGAAGAAGAAGAAGAAGAAGAAGAAGAAGAAGAAGAAGAAGAAGCAGCAGCAGCAGCAGCAGCAGCAGCAGCAGCAGAAGCAGAAGCAGAAGCAGAAGCAGAAGGAAGAAGAAGAAGAAGAGTCCTCCTTGAGAAAGACCAGTGATTGGCCAGGCACAGTGGCTCATGCCTATAATCCCAGCACCTTGGGAGGCCGAGGTGGGCGATTCACTTAAGGCCAGGAATTCAAGACCAGCCTGGGCAAAATGGTGAGACACCATCTGTACTAAAAATACAAAAATTAGCCAGGCATGGTGGCGCACGCCTGTAATCCCAGCTACTCGGGAGGCTGAGGGGAGAGAAATGCTTGAAACCAGGAGGTGGAGGTTGAAGTGAGCTGAGATCATGCCACTGCACTCCAGCCTAAGCAACACAGCAAGACCCTGTCTCAATCAATCAATCAATAAATAAATAAATAAAGCATGCTGACTCCTTAGAGGTTAAAATTACGTGTGTGTTGTGGGGCTGTCCATAATTGTGCCCCCAAAAAGGCATGTTGAAGTCCTAAACCCCAGTACCTGTCGATGTGACCTTATTTGGAAGTAGGGTGTTTGCAGACATAATCAAGTTAAGATGGTGTCATTAGGGTGGGCCCTAATCCATTATGACTATGTCCTTATAAAGAAGAGAAGAGACACAGAGACATACAGGGAGAATGCCATGTGACAACCTATGCAGAGGCTGGAGTAACAGGCCAGGCCAGTGGGGAGAACATGAGGACAATGGAACCTGGACTGCCAAGCTCCAGCCCCTAAATCCCTCCCTTCTGGTTCTGGAGGCCCCAGGGTTACTCTCCCACATGCTAACTGCTTTGAAAACCTCATTCCTCAACTCCACTCCATCATGGGTGGCCTGAAGAAGCCTGGACAGGAGGTCCTGGGTGACCTGTGAGAGCACACACCACGGAGCTGGGTGCAAACCTGCAGAGCCAAAACGTGGGGCTCCTGCCTTCAAATTCACCTCTCACCAGTGTTCAAGTTCTCTTTCCAGCAGGAAGTCTGCCCGGCCTCAGAGTTGCAGCCAGCAGAGTGGCTCAGCATCCAGCATGAAAACATTTGGGAGACATCAAGGTCCATTTAACCAGCACAAGAGTCCCAGCATTCTTTGCTGTGTCAATGTGAGCTTCTCCAAGCCTCAGTTTTACTTATCCATGAAGTGGGTGTATTAAGGTAACGTTAAGTGGCTACAACAAAGAGACCCATGATAAATCAATGCCTTAAGGAAGATCAAGTCTCTCTCTTTCTTGTAGCAGTCCACAGAGCACATCCTGGGCTACTGTTTCACATGGACATCCAGGGACCTGGCTCCCTTCACTTTCTTCCTCTCCATTCCTTAGGACATTGTCCTCCTTGTCACAGACACATCACAGGCCTGTCCTTGTTCTGACTCCTGCAAAAGGGAAAGAGAGGGTAAACCAGGAGCCCCACAGTCTGTCAGCCTAAGCCTCTGATGTAAAGAGTTCACATCATTTTTGCTCAGTTTCCTTAGTCACCTGTCTGTTCCCAACTGCAAGTGGAATTGGAGATGAAATCTGGTCATGCACCTGGTAGAAATGGGGACCGATTTTGAGGGAAAGCCTCAGGCTGAGCAGTTATAATGACACCTCCTTGCAGCTGTGCAATAGATACAGCTAGGGTACCTGGCACCTAGTAAGCCCTCAGTAAAAGTGCTCAATGTTACTGAGCTCAGAGCTCCAAGGGACCTTAGAAACTCTCTGGCTCAACGTCCTTATTTCTTTACAGCTAAAGAAACGGCCTAGAGAGGAGTGACATTGGGCTGGGTTCCCCATGGGTAAGGAAAAAAGTTGGTTCAGAATCCTATCTGGCCTGCAGACCCCGTCCTCACACCTTTTATTTCAAAGTACCTGGTCTAATCCCACTAGGGTCTGGGCAGAGAGCAGGGTCCAGATGACCTCTCCCCTGGTCTCCCTGGGTTGCGGGACATCATTCTAGAGGGACCCTGTGCCCCACAGCAGCGCCCTCGGCTGGGGACCACACAGCTTTATGACTAAGTAGGTGTGGCCCTGGTTTCCAGGACAGGTGTCCAGACTGCTCTGTGACAAAGGGCCACGCCCGCCCCTAGGAGGGGGATTGGGCTGCCCCCTGGGGATGCTGCAGTAGGAGCTGAGGATGGCGTGCCTGGGCTTCCTCCTCCCCGTGGGCTTCCTCCTGATCATCAGCACCATGGCACGGGGAGAGTACGGTGTGGCCCACGTGGTGTCAGAGAATTGGAGCAAGGACTACTGTATCCTGTTCAGCTCCGACTACGTCACCCTCCCCCGGGACCTGCACCACGCCCCACTCCTTCCCCTGTATGATGGCACCAAGGCACCCTGGTGCCCAGGCGAGGATTCCCCCCACCAGGCCCAGCTCAGCTCCCCAAGCCAGCGGCCCCTCCGCCAGACCACCGCCATGGTCATGACGGGTAACTGCAGTTTCCACACGAAAGGCTGGCTGGCTCAGGGCCAAGGTGCCCATGGGCTGCTCATCGTGGGCCGGGTCAGTGACCAACAGTGCTCAGACACCACCCTGGTGCCCCAGGATCCCCGCCAGCCCCTGGGAGACCTCACCATCCCTGTGGCTATGCTCCACTACACTGACATGCTGGACATCCTCAGCCACACTCATGGGGAGGCCATCGTCCGTGTGGCCATGTATGCGCCCCCTGAGCCCATCATCGACTACAACATGCTGGTCATCTTCATCCTGGCTGTGGGCACGGTGGCCGCAGGTGGCTACTGGGCCGGCCTGACCGAAGCCAACCGGCTACAGCGACGCCGTGCCCGGAGAGGAGGGGGGCCTGGTGGTCACCGTCAGCCGCGGGAAGCAGCAGCAGCTGAGGGAGCCCAGAAGGAAGATAATGAGGACATCCCAGTGGACTTCACACCGGCCATGACGGGCGTGGTGGTCACCGTGTCCTGCTCGCTCATGTTGCTGCTCTATTTCTTCTATGACCACTTTGTCTATGTCACCATCGGGATCTTTGGCCTGGGTGCTGGCATTGGCCTCTACAGCTGCCTGTCACCCCTGGTGCGCCG